TGAGAACAATTCACTGTTTTCGGTACTCTACTGTTTTTTTCGTTGACAAACATTTATGGATAAACAAAGATCAATGTGTAACTTGAAGAGTATATGTTTGATAAATTAACTTGAAGCAGCAAATTGCCCTTCATTTTTTGAAACATTTTTGCGAACACAGTCAATTCAATTATAAAATCATAACCTACCTGCCATTTCGGTTACCGGGGATCTTGTGGGTGTCATCTCATAAATTTAGGGGGAGCGATGAGCGGTCCGGATGACACTTTCATGGGAATTGATGCGCCATATCTGATCTATAATCGAATCGAAAGAACTATAATCGATTCTGATTTTTGGCCACTAGCGCCGGCAAATCTCGCATTCGCTTCTTCGAGGATTTTAGTGTGCCGGCTGCAGTTTTTTTGGTGTAATCGCGAGTGAAAGAGAGTGTTTGTGCAAGTCGAAACTTTAGAAAATGACGCGAAAAAGAAAAAATAATCTGAGTGAAAAAGGACGACTACTTTTATCGATGAAGAGACGAAAACGGGGGCCTAAACGGTAAGTTTATTTATACTAATTTATTCTGTCAATGATTTTATTTCATTTCATTTTATTTTTCTATTTTGTTCTCGAGGAAATTCTATTGCATTTTTTTATTGATAGTTTTTTTTCCAATTTTTTGTTGCACGGACATGATTCCATGAAAAAATCATTAGCACAAAAATTCATATTGAGGCATTTATTGCAAAAAGGGGGTTATTCCCAACATGAATAAACAAGGATGATGTTGAGAATAACTCACTTTTTTCAATGAGCAACTCTACAGCATTTTCTTGGCAGCTATTCAAGATAAAAAGTATGCAAAAACATCAATAGTCTTAAAAAGAGTATGCTATGTGCAATTTTTATGATAAATCTTCTAGAGTAAGTAGCTCGTTGCAAATAGTGAGTCATTCTCAACGTGATTGATGTTTATTCAAGGTGTTTTATGTAGACAATAATCCATGTTTTCCAATAATCCTGTACAGGATTTACTCTCGAAATATATTAGTGACACCGGTTTTTGCTAATACATTTGCAAGAAATAAATGCTTTACAGTAGATCCTCTAGACTCTAGTGTAGTAAATCCTGTACACAATTTACTCTCGAAATATATTATTGACACCGGTTTTTGCTAATACATTTGCAAGAAATAAATGCTTTACAGTAGATCCTCTAGAGGATTTACTCTCAAATATTTTTTTCTGGCAACTTTTCCAAAAAAAAACCTTTGTCAATATTATATTTCAAGAGTAACTTTGCTAGAGTACCTGATTGCGAAACATGGGTTATTGTTTACATGAATCAACATGAATAAATATTAATCACGTTAAAAATAACTCACTATTTACAATGGGTTATTCTAAAAAATTTACCATAAAAGTTGCACATGGCATCTTCTTTTTAGGACTATTCATGTTTTAGAATGAGGATCTTTAGAGGATTTACTCTTGCAATATATTATTAATATTGGTTGTTTCTAGGAAAGTTGGTAGAAAATTATTGCTTCAGAGTTAATCTTTTACACTGTAGACGATTGAATCTAAAGCATTTTTCTTGCAACTTTTTTCACTTTACAATACCTTCTGTAGGGTCTAGAGGATTGACTTTAATGCACTTATTTTTTAGCAACTTTTCTTGAAGAAACCAGTGTCAATAGTATCTTTCCAGAGTAAATTCTCTAGAGTTCCTCATTGCAAAACCTGGGTTATTTTCAATATGAATGAACATGGATCTCCTCAACATGATTTAACTGAAATAAACATGAATCATGCAGAGAATAATCCACATTCTGCAATAAGGTGCTGCAGAGAATTTGTCCTGCTAAATATTCAAGAAACAACCACTAGTTATATTCTATTTCAAGAGTAAATGCTCTACACTAACTCATTGCAAAACATGAATGATTCTGAACATAAATCAAGACGAATGAACATAAATTACGTTGAGAATAATTTACTTTCTGCAATTAGTAACAATAGAGCATTTTTTATTCAAATAATCAATAAAAAAACCAGTGTCAGTGAGCCACTTGAATAGTAAACCTTTTGTAGAGTGACCTATTGCAAATAGTGAGTTATTCATGTTTATTCATGTTGAGAATCACTCGAGTTTTGCAAGGAGAAACTCTATAAGGATTTACTCTTGAAAAAAATTATTGACATTGGTTTTCCCAGAAAAGTTGCTAGAAAATAAATGCTTTACAGTCAGTCCTCTAGACTCCCGAGGATGAAGAGTAAAGCAAAAAAAGTTTGCCGAAAAAAATATTTCAGTATAAATCGTCTCCAATCTAGAGGATTTACATGACTCACTTCTCAGGAAGCTTTATGCTTACGCTTCGCAATCATTGCTTGAAAATAATAAATTTTATTAACAGTACCATAAATATTTCCCTTCCGTAGGATAATTTCACCCATACAGTTAAAAATTTATCATATATTTATCACGATGTATATGGGTTAAAACAAATAGTGAACGTGAAAAAGATAAAAATTTTTGTTATTTGGTTAATTATTATACTGTCATAACAAAAATTCTTATTCACCTAAGTTCAATAAATTTTATTCATCGTGCGCATTACAAACTAATCTGATGCGTGACAATTTTTAGTCTTTTAGAGGATAAATTCTACCAATACAATGTTGTCAGTCTATAGCTAGGGCTATCTACCTCTCTCTTCAATACAATACGTGCAAGAGGGAGGCAGACAAGAGAACCCCCAACCCTCCATATTATCACTTATAATATAGGTCCTATATAAGGGCGGTACTACGTGATTCTTTTTTTTTTTTTTT